TCTAAGCACCCCACAGGCCTTGTGTGTTAGACAAGGATTTGATATGAATGCTCGTCTTTGCCTCTCTTCTGCCTACATATTGGAAGAAAATATATCAAAAAGAAGGAAATGTTTAGGAGCAGCCCTAATATGGAAGGCTGTAAACCATTTTTTCCCATCAATTAACAAATTATTGCCAAGCGCAAAGGATCAGTGCCATACATTAATTTTCAGTTTGGAAGATTTATTGCTCCAGTTTATACACAAGAATCTGGTCAACTAATGGTCAGCACTAAATTGGCCTTAGTTAAGAGTCAGTGGAATTCAAGAGGAGCTGAGACTTGGAACGTTTGTGGCAACGTAAGGATTATAAACCAATGACACATTTAACTCTGCCCCCACCTAAGCTCTCTTCTTCTACTACAATTATTTTGTTTTCCAACGCATGTGAGAAGACTGGTAAACTACGAAACTCAGGACTTGGGAGAGGAAATTTGCTGTGGGCTTGCACCATTATTATTTTTTTTCCAGAAATTTGAAAAGAAATTATATAAGGGGCTCAGGACGCTTGTCCGTACACCTTTCTGGCAGCACAACAACTCCGAAACTAGAATAGGATTAAATCTGGTGTGGGGGAAGAGAATCATGAATCAAGAATCAAGTTGAAAAACCAAGCTAAGAGAAGTGGGAGGGAATAATCATTATTTATTTTCCTTCCATTAGATGCCCATGGGAAGAAGGGCAGTAGGGCAATGGCTTGAAATGTGGCCGATTGCTCCGTTGTAATCTCCAATCCTCTTTTCTTTCCACCGATATTAACCAGAGTTGTAAAAGGGGGTTCAGAAGCGTGCCAGAATCCAAGGCCTGCAACATTTCCCCCCCACCCTTCCTTAACGCGCAACACACAAAATTGCACGGCCATTACGCTTAAATCCAATGATTTTGGTGGAAGAATCGCGCTCAGAAAAAGGAATCGTTTCCACATTTTGACTTCTCCGTGAATCGAAGTTCAAGCCATCATTCTGTGTTGAGAGGACTTCTTTTTTTTTTTTTTTACTCGAGACTCCTTCATCCAAGCCTTTTTCTTTCTTTCTTTCTTTCTTTCTTTCTTTTTTGGACTTGTGTTTCCTTTGGGCTTTCCAGGTTCAATTTGAAACTCAAGCAATCTGTTTGATTAGAAGAAAATCAGGCTCTCTCTTAAACCACTTGTTGACTTTTTAAAATGTGAGATTAGAAACAGGTGGGAGGTGTTAGAAAACAATTTGGTATTTTACAAGTACAGTAGTTTGGATTAAAGGCAGATGTCAGCAGCGTTTCTCAACCCAGGCAGTTTTAAAGAGGTTTGGATTTCAACTCCTAGAATTCCCCAGCCATCTTATTTGGCTGACTGGGGAATTCTGGGAGTTGAAGTCCAGACTCCTTAAAAAGTTGCTAAGATTAAGAAACACCCCCCTATAAACATAACTATTGGCCTTTTGGTACATATAAAACTAGTGCCTTAGAATATAAAGTTTATAAACCACAGAATTTCACAATACTGGTATAGTCCTCAATTTACGACCACAGTGGAGCCCAAGGTTTCTATTAAGTGAGATGGTTGTTGGGTGAGTTTTGCCTCATTTTACGACCTTCCTTGTCACGCTTGTTAAGTGAATCTATGCAGCTGTTAAAGTTAGTAACACAGTTGTTAATTAATCTGGCTGTTCCATTGACTTTGCTTGCCAGAAGATCACAAAAAGTGATCCTAGGATACTGCAATCTTCATAAATATGAGCCCATTGCTAAGTATCTGAACTTTGATCACCTGACCATGTGACATTGAAACAGTCATATACATGAAAAACAGTTATAAGTCACTTTTTTTGAGTGCTGTTATAACTTACAATGTTCACTAAATGTACTGTTTACAGAGGGCTGTCCTTTGCATGTTTACATTTGATAACCTGGGAGAGCATTTTTGTGTTTAATCTGAAGAGGATTTTTCTTTAAAATAGAATAGATTGTTTCAGCTTTGTTTTAATAGATAGTATTCGACTGACCTGACAGGTCTACAAATACATGTTATGTATTTTTTCTTCAAATTATACATCGAATAAGTCAAACTACATAGTGAACAAGTCAAGATAGCAACAGCAATTGCACTTAGACTTACATACCGCTTCACAGTGCTTTTACAGCCCTCTCTAAGCGGTTTTCAGAGTCAGCCTCTTGGTCCCAACAATCTGGGTCCTCATTTTACCTTCCTTCCTTCCTTCCTTCCTTCCTTCCTTCCTTCCTTCCTTCCTTCCTTCCTTCCTTCCTCCTTCATGCCTTCCCTTCTTATATATCCCTCCATTATTTATCCTTCCTTCCATCCTTCCTTCCTTCCTTCCTTCCTTCCTCCTTCATGCCTTCCCTTCTTATATATCCCTCCATTATTTATCCTTCCTTCCATTCCTCCCTCCTTCCTTCGTCCTTCCTTCCTTCCTTCCTTCATGCCTTCCTTCCTTCCTTCCTTTATGCCTTCGTGCCTTCCTTCCTTCATGCCTTCCTTCCTTCCTTCATGCCTTCCCTTCTTATATATCCCTCCATTATTTATCCTTCCTTCCATTCTTCCTTCCTCCCTCCTTTCCCTCCCTCCTTCCTTCCTTCCTTCCTTCCTTCCTTCCTTCCTTCCTTCCTTCC